TATCAAGTGCGATATTCGCCTAGATCGACCCCGCCTTCGCAAGGAGTTCAGAGACTACACACTCACGAAGTGCCATACTAGAGCAGAAGAACTACGATCCTCCAGTCGTTTGTCTCTTCTCGCGGGCCTTCCAATCTCTCAATCGTCCTTTTTCCGGTCACGATAGAGTCATAGTTTTCGCATCTAGACGCGTTAGACGTTCAAGAATCGCGAGTTTTCCTCCCACCACGAACAAATCTCAACAAACACCCTCCCGATCGACATAATACCAACCGTCATAATGTCTTCCGAGAACGCCCAGTCCGTCAAGGTTTTGGACGAGCTTTTCCAGAAGCTCACCGTCTCCAAGGAGGCTGCCGACATCAAGGAGTCCTCCAGCTCCCTGGCTTCCTTCATGAACGGCCGCATTGAGGATCAGGATGTTCCCACCAAGTAAGTTGAAAATGCTACTATCTTCACGACCAGCTACACCGCAACACTCTTCTTTGGGGGGTGTGAGATTCCGCCTCAAGCGACCGTGTCCACGGCCTTGGGAATTTCTCCAAAAAAAAAAAAATCGGATTTTTTTTTCTTGTTCCCCTCGCCTCTTCGGGCGGCTTTTGCACCGACCCGCTGCGACGCTGAGCGACCAGCCACGCTGGCCACTCAGCGGCGAGTTATTTTCGGCTCACACATATTTTTTTTTCTGGAGCATCAGCGCTGACAAGGATTTTCCCCGCAGGACCATCGAGTCTATCCGCAAGCTGTTCAACAACAAGAAGGATGCCGCTGCCCGTGAGAAGGCCGCTGTCGCCATCACCGCCATTGCTCAGCACTCCGAGGTCTCCGCTCACGTCGAGCCCCTCCTCGTCGCTCTTCTTCCCGATGTTCTTGCCGCCGCTGGTGACAAGATCACCGGTGTGAAGAACGCCGCCACCGCTGCTGCTCTTGCCATCGCTGAGGCCATCAACCCCAATGCTGTCAAGGGTGTCTTCGCCCCCGTCAAGAAGTCCCTCCTCGAGGCCCAGAAGTGGCAGGAGAAGATGGCTGCTCTCGATGTCCTCGAGACCGTCATCCGCACCGCCCCCGCTCAGGTCGGCTACCGCGTTCCCGACTTGATCCCCGTCGTCTCAGAGTCCATGTGGGACACCAAGAAGGAGGTCAAGGAGCGTGCCTACAAGACCATGGAGGCCATCTGCCAGCTTATTGTCAACCGTGATATCGAGCGCTTCATTCCCGAGCTTATCAAGTGTATCGCCAAGCCCGAGAACGTCCCCGAGACCGTTCACTTGCTCGGTGCCACCACCTTCGTCACCGAGGTCCAGGAGCCCACTCTTGCCCTCATGGTTCCCCTGCTTGACCGTGGTCTCGCTGAGCGTGAGACCGCCATCAAGCGTAAGGCCGCCGTCATTGTCGACAACATGTGCAAGCTTGTCGACGACCCGAACATTGTCGCTCCCTTCTTGCCCAAGATGATGCCTGGTCTCCAGAAGAACTACGACAACTTGGCCGACCCCGAGGCCCGTGAGAAGACCAAGCAGGCCCTCGACACCATCATCCGTGTCGGTAACGTCGTTGACGGCAAGATCCCCGAGGTCCGCCACGACTCCGACCTGGACGTTGTCCTCCCCAAGCTCAAGGAGTCCATCCCCTCCAAGTCCAAGGCCAAGGCCGATAAGCTCGACGTTGTCCTCCAGTACGCCTCCAACATCGCCGGTCAGCTCATCGACGAGAAGGAGATGGAGTCCGCCGTCTGGACTGAGGCCCTCAAGCCTTACATCTCCGTCATCGTTGGCGACGACGATGCCCAGAAGGTCGTCGACGACTTCCGCAAGCGCGCCGCTCCCGGTGCCGCCGAGGAGGAGGAGGTCGACCCCGATGATGAGGAGGGCGAGGACCTTTGCAACTGCACCTTCTCCCTTGCCTACGGTGCCAAGATTCTTCTCAACCAGACCCACCTCCGTCTCAAGCGTGGCCAGCGCTACGGTCTTTGCGGTCCCAACGGTTCCGGAAAGTCTACTCTCATGCGTGCCATCAACAACGAGCAGGTTGAGGGTTTCCCCAAGCAGTCCGAGGTCAAGACCGTCTTCGTCGAGCACGACCTGGACTCTGCCGACACTGAGATGACCACCATCGAGTGGACCATGAAGAAGCTTGCGGATGCCGGTGTCACTACCTCCCAGGCCGATGTCGAGGCCAAGCTCAACGAGTTCGGCTTCACCGAGGCCATGGTCAAGGGTGAGATCTCTGCCCTGTCTGGTGGTTGGAAGATGAAGTTGGCTCTTTGCCGTGCCGTCTTCGAGGCTCCCGATATTCTGCTTCTCGACGAGCCTACCAACCATTTGGACGTGAAGAACGTCAAGTGGCTCGAGGACTACCTCATGAACTCCCCCTGCACTTCCATCATCGTCTCCCACGACTCCGGCTTCCTCGACAACGTCTGCCAGCACATCGTTCACTACGAGCGCTTCAAGCTTAAGCGCTACCGTGGTAACCTCAAGGAGTTCGTCAAGAAGAACCCTGCCGCCAAGTCCTACTACGAGCTCTCCGACTCCGAGATGGAGTTCTCCTTCCCCGAGCCCGGTTTCCTCGAGGGTGTCAAGACCAAGGCCAAGGCCATTCTGCGTGCCAGCAAGATGTCCTTCCAGTACCCCGGTACCACCAAGCCCCAGATCTCCGACATCTCCTTCCAGTGCTCCCTCGGCTCCCGTATCGCTGTCATTGGTCCCAACGGTGCCGGAAAGTCCACCCTTATCAACGTCCTTACTGGTGAACTTATCCCCACCGTTGGTGAGATCTACCAGCACGAGAACATTCGTATCGCCTACATCAAGCAGCACGCTTTCGCCCACATCGATAACCACTTGGACAGCACCCCCTCTGAGTACATCCAGTGGCGTTTCCAGACTGGTGAGGATCGCGAGACCATGGATCGCGCCAACAAGATCATCACCGACGCTGATGAGGAGGCCATGAACAAGATCTTCAAGATCGAGGGTACCCAGCGCCGCATCATCGGCATCAACTCCCGCAGAAAGTTCAAGAACTCCTACGAGTACGAGTGCTCTTTCGCCATTGGTGACAACGTCGGCCAGAAGAACGAGCGCTGGACTCCCATGATGTCCGCTGACAACGTCTGGCTTCCCCGTAACGAGCTTCTGGCTTCTCACCAGAAGATGGTTGCCGATGTCGATATGAAGGAGGCCCTCGCCTCCGGTCAGTTCCGCCCTCTGGTCCGTAAGGAGATTGAGTCCCACTGCGCCAACTTCGGTCTCGATGCCGAGCTGGTTTCTCACTCTCGCATGCGTGGTCTGTCCGGTGGTCAGCGTGTCAAGGTCGTCCTTGCTGCCTGCTCTTGGCAACGCCCCCACTTGATCGTCCTTGACGAGCCTACCAACTACCTCGACCGTGACTCTCTCGGTGCCCTGTCCAAGGCCCTGAAGAAGTTCGAGGGTGGTGTCATCATCATTACCCACTCTGCTGAGTTCACCAAGAACATCACTGAGGAGGTCTGGGCCGTCGTTGACGGTAAGATGACTCCTTCCGGTCACAACTGGGTTCAGGGCCAGGGCTCTGGTCCCCGTCTCAAGGGTGACGAGGGTGAGGAGGAGGAGAAGTTCGATGCCATGGGCAACAAGATCGTCAACACCAAGAAGAAGGTCAAGTTGTCCTCTTCCGAGCTCCGCAAGAAGAAGAAGGGTAAGTTTATTCCATCCATCACTTGATGATCTGTACACAGAACACTAACATCTTTCCCTCAGACCGTATGGCCCGCCGCAAGCGTGGTGAGGAGGTTTTCTCCGACGAGGACGACATCTAAACCAGTCGCCACGAGATCGCTTTCCTTTCCATTTGTCACGAGCCTTACAAAAGTCTTTTTTTCGGTAACGCGGGTTGCATGGTTACGGGCCTGTTTATGATTTCTTTGACGAGCACCCATGAGATTCCCCTTGAAATGAAATCGCCGGATGAAGGAATGACCATCTCGCTGCGGGATTGGAGGATCCCGCGCGCGAGTGTGAGAGAGGTTCCTGGCGACAGGGAATGAGGGGGTAAGAATAAGAGAGTAGAAAGAGTAAATAGACGGCAATACAAGCCATAGACACTTCAACTTTTGATTCCCTGATTGATGTATGCGACGTGATGTACTCGACGGACGCCTTGATTTCTCTTGAAGAAGGGAGAGTATGCAGGTGGTGGTCATCTCCGCTTTCCGACTGTGTCGTCTAAACCAAGAATTCAATACCCATCTGGACCTTCTCATCTGACCGACTGATGTTCAACGTCAACCTGATGCTTTGATCATTTCCAGGCCCCGAACTTGTGTTTGTGGTCATTGTGCTGCTATTGTACTCAAGTGACTGGGGTACGTTACTTTGACAGCACCCCAGTACAGTCGCGTGGATGTGTGATACCGACCACGCCTCCATCTTTCTTTGTATCAACTCCTTCAAATGTGAGTCTCCCTTCCAACGTCCTGCGCAGTGACGGTCAGATGAAAATGTTGCAGCTATTGATCAGTCATTGTAAGTTCCTTTGTCACCATTCTATACAGGCTCCCTCAGCTCGATCGATGCTCTGAGGGGTTCAAGTCTCGCCAAGGATAGCTGAGCCTCCAAAAGACGTACCTGAACGTCCGAGGCCAGGCTGCTCCTTTGAGGGTATATTTGGAGGGATGAAGGTCGAATGCGGTCTTTCTACACGTCAAGCCAAAGGACCAGCTGTATTGACTGTGCTCAACATTGTCCGGTGTTGAGGGAGTTGCTGAAGACTGCTATTCTTGTCTTGCTTGGTTTCGAGGTCAACTCCAAGTCCTCGAGAAGACAATGTCAAAGACACCAAAATGTCTTGTTCTCCCATTCCTCATAGCCCCTCGGCTGAACGGTTGTCTTGATATTTCTTTCCCTTCATTATCCAGTTTCCTCTAGGAAACCGTCTTTATCTCGATAAACCACGTACCTTGCCAAGCAGTTCAAATCCTTCAAACAACGACAGACATCATCATAGGTGAGGCCATCACCATGGCCGCCGGCTCCCCAGACAAGAACCTCACCCACGAAACAGTCTACGACGAAGAATGGTGGGTCAAAAACACCCGCGAACACCCAGACAGCCCCATCGTCCTCCCCCTCTCCCCATCACCACAACTAGCCTCCTCGGGAGACTCAAACAACACCACATCCTCCACCCACACAAACACCTCCAACATCTCCATCCCCGCCACCGCAATCCACACCCACGACACAACAGCCGCGGCCATCACATCCCTCCGGCCCCCAGGCAACCCCCACGCACCACTCTTCCTCGGCGCGCCGCCCGTGAAACCGGCAAATAAAGGCCAGTGGGCCTACGTGGAATACGTTCCCGCCTGGACGGATCCCCTCTGGAAAGACGGCGACTCGCGGGTGCAGGATGAGAAGAACCCCGCGTACGTACTGCGTAAGCGTGACTGGACGAAGAGGATTCGCCCCGCGCAGCTGCCGCAGGATAGAGCGCAGAATCCGAGCGCGTTTGCGTTGCGGTACGGAGTGTATCCTGACAGATTGGACGGGCGATCGCGGTTGACGCCTACGAGGGGAGCGTTTCGCAAGTTCAAGTATGATGGGGTTGAGGTACCCGGCGTCACGGCGGATGTTGTGATTAAGCAGGCGGAAGGGTTTGCTAAGACGGCTGGGCTGGCTGGGGTGGATGAGTTGTTGGAGGTGTATTCTGGGATGAGGGGGGGTAGGGGGAACGAGAATGAGAGGTTTGTCTTGAGGGCGCTGGAGGGGATGAGGGATGACGAGGATTGGCAGATGATGATGTTTCGGGGGATGACTTCGCATGAGGTATGTTTTGATGTTTTTTTTTTTTTTTTTGTGAGTGTTTGTGAGGGTGAGTTGAGGCTGATGTGTGAGTGTAGTTGATTGAGGAGGGGATGATGTCCATGGGGAATGGGAATGCCTGCGATTTGCAGAATGTTCTTCATAAGTAAGTTCTAGGATGGGTTGCCCCTCTGTCCTACATTCTCTCGGCTGACTTGTTTGGACGGATGAAGGTATCTCACGAGAGATAAATGGGTTGAAAGCACATGGCGAGGATCCGACGCTGAAAAACCAAGACTCGTTTACCAATCTGGCCAAGTCAAAGGAGAATGGGACCCAAGAGTGAGAGAAGAGACATCTTTTTCAAGACCACATTCAAGCAGGAATCCATGAAGTTGTCCGAAAACTAACACAACATCAAGACCAACGACTACCTCTGGGACAAAATGCAACCCGCCCTCCTCCTAGCCTCCCGCATCCTAGACCACCTCGACAAAAACGACCCCTTCTGGCGCCGCCTCCACGACGTCCTCAATCGCCAAACCATCGGTGAACCCTGCGACTACCGCACCCCCGAGATGCGCAGGAAGAACCCGGCCGTGAAATTCACCCTCCAAGACTACGACGACGGCGAGCAGAACGCAATTGTAGACGACGAGACTCGCAAGGGCATGTTTGACGTCCACTTCGAGGTGCTCCATGTCCTGCAGACGAGGATGCGGTTCATGCTGTACAGTGGGAATAAAGGGGAGGATAGCGGCACTGCGGGCGTGACGTGTGTGTCTGGGTCGAGTATCGATGTGTATATTGCCGCGGACGCGTTGTGGCCGTTGGTTGTGCCTGGGTATAGTGAGGATGAGAGGTTGTTGCAGGGGTTCTTTTTGGCTTCTACGATAATTCATGAGATTGCTGTGAGTCTTCCCTTCTATCAATCATTCTTTTACAGACACAGCTGTCATGGATCTTGCTGACGTTGTGAGTTGAATAGCATGCGATCAACTATGCGCACCATCTCGTTCTTTTGCCACCGGCCTGCTTCCAAGTTGAGAACTGGAAATCCACCCCGGAGAGGACCAAGAAAGCTGCAGAGATTGGGTCAAAGTTGTTTGCCAAATTTACGGAAAGCAACTGTGAGCCGTTTTTCGAGGATGAGCCGCAGGCTGAGCTGGGGTTTTGTACCGAGAACCGGGTGAGTTGACTCTCTATGTCTTCGTTTCCTCTACCTTCTTTGCAACTACCACTACCCCTTTCTCACTCAGAACGAATTGTCATGTAGACAATTGCAGACCACACTGACGCATCATTCACTACATATTAGCTCTTCGGCGGCGTTCACTGGAATATCACGTCCCTCGAAATGTCCCAACTCTTCTTTCTGCCTGCCGCCATGGCAATGGAGAGGTGGCCACGGCCCAAAGGCGATTGCGGCCGTCTGTCCGTCGAAAAACTCCAGCAGAGTCCGGACAAACTTGTTCTTGACTACATACCGATGCTCCCGGACCAATACTTCTACCCGACCCGAGTCGCCCACATTGTCCGCCTCTTTACCGAAGCCTTCTGGGGCGTCGAGGTGAACAAGTACGGCCCCGCGGCGCTGCGCTTCGGCGGCTTGGACCCGGTCAAGCTCCCCATTATCTGGCCGCGCATCCAGCTGAGCGCCGCGCTGAAAGGCGTGCTGGCGCCGAGGGGCGATCGGGCTTTGGATCTGTTGCCGAGAACGGACTCGGTCGAGATGCTTGACGCTGGCCCGATGCTGCAGCGTTTCTTGCACCAGGCCGCGATGGAGTTTCTAAGGCCGCATGTGGCGCGGTACCGGTGGGAAAGAGACCACACACACTTTGTGAATTCACGAAACTGCAAGATGATCGTGCACATGTCTCACTTGGCTATCATCGTGATCGAGGTCCGTATAGCGTCTAATTTGCGACAATTTAAAGAGGATGTTGATAATAGGACAAGGAGTATGGCGTGGCTGTACAACTGGAAGAAGGCCAAGAGTCGAGAATGGGGTGTGAAGCTCGAAGATATTTTACAACGAACGCGAGATGCATTGGATGACGAACCATGCCTTTTGCCATATCAATCGGTTCATCCGTTCCAAGACGAGGATCTTTTCTGGCAAAACATCCCCGAACTAGGGATGAAAGCGGGCAAGAGGGCAGCAGAAGTGCTCCGGCGAATATACGAGATGATCATCTTCGAGATCGGGTGTTTCCAGCAATTGTTTATCGACATTTACCACCTCGACGAGGCAGAAGTCGAAGCGTTCGAGGCGACGGACGCGCCCAAGGAATTGGCATACCGCCTCTCGTCTACAACCAAGCTGAGCATGACGGCACTGATACAGGCCACGGGACTCGTGGCAGACTACGGCGGGACGGGGTTTATACCCGTCGTCAACATGGCAGTCTTCCATGACTTTGTGGCGAAATTCACGAATGCGAGGGCGCAGCTCGAGGAGATGAGGCCGTGGGCGGAGAATCTTTCAGAGATCAATCCTGCGAACTTCAACCTCCTACAGCCGTTGATCCCGAGGCTCAAGATATCGCGGCGGCCGGCGACAGCAAGAATGGTCAAGGTTGTGCAAAAGGAGCTCGGGATGGTTCCCGTGGAGACTTTGGTGGTCATTGAGAAGTTTCTGAGCTTTGTGAAGACAACGGTGAAGGCTGCAGGCCAAGTCAAGATCGATGTGGCGAGGGATTGGGAGATGGATCTGGATGAGGTGGTCACCGAGTTCGAAAAGAGGGATAAGCTTGATCAACCTGGCTTGGTGGAGGATGTTACTGACGACGAAGACCCCGAAGACGGCCTTGCCAACAATGATCCGCTTACTGAAATAATCAGGAAGAGGAAGCCCAAGAATCCCTGGAATGGAACGAATCACCCTCCCAAACGACTCAAAAGACCCAGGATCACGGCGCCGCAGCTTGTTCCACGGCCCCTGACACATCCCACGCCATTTTCAAAATACTCCCCGCCGAGGCACAGGTTCGGAGATCCCACCAAGGCCAGCCGCTTCTCCAGACGCAACAAAATCAACCCCGTCCCGGACCCGATGTCCAAGATCCCAAACGTATTCGCCAACATCCCAGATATAATTTTCCCCCTATCACAATCCCCTTCCGTGTTTGCAGGGTACGGTTCCGGTGGCCAGCAACAGCCGTCACCAAAGCTCCCTACTCACGCTTCCGTGTTCGGCAGACCTGGGGTCCAAATCGCAGAGGGCCCCGAGCCGATGGGCATATTCCCCCACGCATATGCACTATCGGCATCCTTCACGGAAGACCTCGAGCATGAGGCTAGGGCCCGACTTTTGCTCGCGCAGCAGAGTCCCGCGAATTCCGCGCTCGGGTTTAGGGAGAGGTACGGAGCGATGGCGGCGAACGCGTATCGTGATCCTGTGCCCGCCATACCGGACTCTCCTGAACGACGGAATAGCGACGGCGCTTCTGGGTTTGGATTCGGTGGTGGGAATCGACGGCGAAGAATCCCGGATCCGCAGGATTACTCGCCGACTACGGAGGGAGTGTCCAGCTTATCAAGCTATCCGGGTTCGAGTCCGGGAATGGTGGACAAGGGAAAGGGGGCGAGGGGCCCCGGGAACGGGGATCATGAGGATGAAGATGCAAGCTGGGGGATAATTAACACGAACAAAGTCAGCGCACTCGATATGCAGCGAGACCTGTACTTGAAGCAGCGGGCGAGAGGGCAGATTGAGGAGCAGAAGCGGCAGCAGCGGGAGTGGTTGAATAGTCTTGCAACATGTGAGGCACCGGCTGGCATGTTGGAGATGGATTTGAGGCCTGATTCCGGTACAGGGCCTATAGGAGGAGGATCGAGTGCTAGTGTTGGAGGGGCGGATGGAGTTAGCCCGGGGCCATCTGATGCTTCTCATCAGCAGCAGGCGAGGTATTGGCCAAGTGATATGGACTGGGTGCCAGGTTGAGCATCACTTCTTCAATCAGGCCTAGCCTTATGAGGCAGGGGTAGCAAAGTCTTGTTTGTCGGATGATCTGAGCTAGTGAGAGTGAGCTTGGATGTTTCGATGTGGTTCAGACGGAGGAGTCAAGGAGTCCTTGTGGAGACAAAGGCCTGTTTCCTATTGCTTAATTTGGTACGTAGGCATACTTGAATGGAGATTTTACTCAATGAAGCTTGCTCGAGAACATACGTCTTATTCAAGCTTCCCGGGTTCTTCACTGCAACGATTGGTTGTACCTCATACTTGTAATCTTCGCCGGCAAATACTACATGCGTATTCGTCAACTCACAGCCCGAGGTATCACAGGATAAGGCGGGACTCGGGGGATAGTCCTTGACCTGATTCATCCCATCCGTTTTCAACAGCAGTAAAAGGGACTCCTGCCCAGAAGCTTAAGATGGTTAGACCCCTAATCCTGAAGTGCAGAGCTACCGAGCTGTAGTTTGTGGGTTCGAATCCCACAAGCGCCCTCCGTGTTTCGTATGTTTGTTTTTGTTTTCCTTCTTCTTTTTCTTCTCGGATTGAGACTAAAATATCTCGCTCTTGGGAAAGTCATCTGAGTGCATTGAAAACCAACGCTAGCTCAGGAATTCACTACCTTCTCCTGTGTACAAATGCCACGTCTCAGCCCACGTCTCAGCCCACCTCACTGCATCCTCATATCGCATCAATATCAATTTCCGGCGCCTCCCTCCTCTTAAACAACAACTTCGCCGTACTGTCCGAGTTCCACGCAAATCCCCACTCCTGCCACTGATGTTCATACCCAGGCGTCAACTTCCAGTCAAACTTCATCAGCAAATGCGCCAGCGCAATCTTGAGCTCGTTGCCGGCGAAGAAGCGGCCAGGGCACGCATGCTGGCCGTGGCCGAAGCCGAGGTGCGAGGGCGACGTGCTGACGAGATGGGCCTGGCTGTCCAGCTTCGGGTCGCCGCGCATGTTGAGGAAGCGGTAGCCGTTGAAGGATTCGGGGTCCGGGTAGATTGAGGGGTCGTGCATCTTGCCCAGGTCGCCGACGCAGCGTTCTCCTTTTTGGAGTTTGAGGCCGTTGGGGAGAGTTACTTGGCGGGTTGCCATGCGGGCCATGATGGCTGGGTAATGTTGTGAGCAAGGTCTTATTTTGAGAAAAGATCCATGTCGTTATGGATGCGAGTACGGAGGAAGATACTTACCAGATGTAACAGGCTTCAGTCGTTGTGACTCTTTCAGAACGCTGTCCATGAGTTTCATGTTGAAAAGGGCCGTCTTCTTCCAGCCTTCAGCGGTGAGAACTTCAACGATTTCCTTCCTCAAGGCGTCAAATAGTTCGGGGTGTTCGGCAATGCGTAGCATCGTCTCCACAAGTAGATCCGTGGTAGTGTGAATCGCAACGACCGAGAGCCCCAGCTGCGCACCAACGACATCGTACTCCCGCCCCTGACTCTCCTCTTCGAACCAATCAATGCCATCATTGAATTTCGGCGCCGGTTCGCCCCTTTCCTTAGCCCGCTGCCGTGCGCCTCTGCGTCTCTGAAGCACCGGCTCAATAATATCTCGAGAATCGGATACCTGCCGTCTAAGAGTCTTGCACTCGGGGAGGAACACGTTGGCGGCGTAGCGCAGCCAATACGGGTACGGGCGCAGGATTTCAGCGCCGAGGAAGGCGTTGACGGTGTATGACTTTGTGATGGCAAGCCAGGCTTCGTCACGGCATACTTCATCGCCGAGGAAGACGCGGGAGGAAAGGCGACAGATAAGGTCGAGAATGGTGTCTTTGGTATTGTACTCTTGCCATTCTACATAGAGCAGTAACAAGCGTGTTAGCAATGGGAATGGATGACGATGAATTACTGGTGTGCAGTGGGCGTGTGAGGAAACTTACCGGTCGGCTTGCCGAAGATGTGATCGACAGCGAATCTGGTTTCTGACGCAAGAGGCTCCGTGATTTGGTCTATATCAATGTGTAAGTATCGTGAGGGTGTGCTGGTGTAACGTGGGGTCTCAATGTGGGGTGTGGGGTAAGAAAAGGGCAACTTCGTGATGGAAAGCCAAAACCTACTGAGCAATTTGGTGATGCGCTTCTTGATGACGAGCTGGAAAAGTCCATCTGGTCGGTTTCCGACCGCAAATCCCTCAAAACCATTCAGTTGAGGGTGAAAGTTGTCTGCAAAAGCCTTTGAGAAGCTCAACCCCGGCTCGTTGCGAATATCGTGAACGAGATCAGGCGGGATGACGACTGTCTCGCCAACATCCGTCATAAGTCTGTAAGGCTGGCCGGGAAATTGCGTTCGGGCATCTTCCATAATACGACGAGCATTCATCAAGAATCCTTTCTTTCGTTCTTGGTCGAAAAAGTCAAATACTCGCCCCGGGTTGACGGAGGGGAGTTTGCGAGAAGGCTTGCGAATGTGGGGTATTATCGTGAAGACGCTGATGAGGATGATGCCGAGACATAGTGATGTCCACAAATCCAGCTTACGGATGAGTGATGAATCGTCGGCCCATGAGCTGAGAAGGTGCTTGGGAGTTGTGATGGCTTCCATCTTCGGGGTTTGGGGTGGGATAAAGTATGAAGCAAAAGTTGATAGACCGCGCTTGGAGATGGTCAAAGGTGTAAGTGCGTCTACAATCAACTTATATACTCTGCCCAGCCTCAGAGGGGTAACTCGGCGGTGAACAAATATTCATCGTCTGTTTCGCCATTACACAAGAAAATTCGTATTGCAAGTCCAGAATTACTCCAAACCATCTCCACGTTGACGTTGTTTCTAGCATATCACGGTGCTAAATCGCTGCCCGCCGGCCAACACTCCCGTCGTTGCAACTCTGCGCGACCCACCGCTAACCCTGCCTGCAGCCGTCTCGAACGAATCAGCAGCGGTCGCAACTGGGGACCGCGTCTCTTAAGTCCCGAGTCATGCAGATCATTGTAGCAAGCTTCGGAAGCAGACAAGTGCCCGACAGCGGGACGGGTGGATCTCTGAAATCTGGGATAGTTTTTGATGCCCCCGGGGGAACCGCCCTCAAAAGCGACGACCATCCTCCTCAAATTCTTCTCAGTTTCCAGCTCTGTTCCTGCAATGTCTTGTTTCTTGAGACGACTCCCCGCTTGACAAATCTGTCTCCACTTACATCACGCAAATTTTGACTTGTCCCAACTCCGATGATGCGGGGGTTAGCCTGGTGTTTTGACGCGACACGGACCGTGATGAGTTCCCAAAGTTCAGCAACGCGGAGTGCGACGGCACCGTTTGTCCGTTGTTGCTACCTGCACCATTCACATAGGATGAAGCCTTGGGTCGCGCCAGACATGAAATGCGATGACGGCAACTTGACAGATTCCGTGGTCCTGCATAAGTTAGGAAACCAACACCGTTCGCTCCAAAGTTCATATGGTTATGGCGAGTAGAGCAGCATCTGACACTAATGGTAACGAGAGCTCCAATCCACCAACGGGAGAATAAGGCATGCTCCCTTGAGGCTCTAGCTAGCTCGGTATGAGTTATTGGCACCCTACATCTAACCGGAAGATAATTCCTGATAGCGGGTAATATTGACTGGAGCTTACTTTGACATTGTCTTTCCAAAACAGTCTGCATTTGTCTGCCTTGACTCGCGTTGACTGTCACTCGTCCACCGAAGTTGACTAATAACGCCAAGGTGCATAGCTAGTGAAGCCTGGGTGCAGATTTGACTCATCTGAGCGACCGGGCCTGTTGTCGTCATGGGCCTTGGCCATCATCCATCGAAGAACACCGCAGGGAACTCTGAGCATATCGCAGAGCTACCAGGCATCTTTTAAACTTATGAGCAAACTGCGACAGTAATCAGACTCTAAAAGCTTTCAGAAAATGATGCTCTTGATTGGGTTTTCCGCCATCAGTCCTCAGCACTCCGACTTCAAGAGCAGCTGCCAACTCGCTGCACAGAGTTACTTGGAGGTTGACTAACCCCCTCCGTCAACGCCGTCACGCACCTCATCAAATCATACTCAGTGCCAGGTCCTCAGTATGACCCCGGGATAGAGGAGGAAACTTTTAAGACCAGCGACTGCTCTTGGTGGGCGATTTTGTCGGGTACGTTACGAGATATATGCAAGATATGATGGCGGCTCGGCTCCCACATACCGGAATCTTCGGACCCGAGTCCTCTAGTGTCCTCCGCTATGATCTACGGATATCCCGTAGTCTAGATCGACTCCAATAGTATTGCTTCCAAGGGCAAACAGAGAATATTCGCATTCGTAAATCGTAGTTGATCTACAGTCTACGGTCCGCGCCCCCTAAATTCACCCACATTCCGATTTTTCAGTGGAGAAAAGTTGGAACAGTCGTCAGCCTCTGCGAACACTGTGGCACCGTATATACCTATTTTAGATTGACGATATGCTACGGGCTTGTCCAGACTTGTAATAAGATGGTTTTGATTCGTCATTACACTGCCCATTCCATGTGCGTGTACCCAGTTGAGGTCGAAATGCCGACGAAGTGTTCATTCTCGGTGACGCGTTCAGGGGAACCAGGTCTTTGATTGATGCTGTCAAAATGGCATTTGCATCAAAGGTTACCACTTTTCCCGAAAGATGGCAAAGGTTGAGACATATATAAGATGAATCGAGTTTGGATGTTTCTCAAGGTCTCGTTCATCCAAACTATCTCTCGGCAGCAACCTTCTCTCCACACATCATGAAACTTTCAACCGTTGCAATTGGCGCGTTCGCCTCCTTGGCCCTTGCCCACAAGGAGGTAGCCCCCGGAGTCGTCAAACGCCACGCCGATCTCTCTAAGCGCTGTGCTTCCGGAGCCGCAAAGTTCAAGCAGAAGCGATTCGAGAAGCGCCAGGAGGAGGCTAGCTTGAACAAGCGATCCGGCAACAGCTCTTACAC